GCCAGAGCTGGGCGCGGCGCCGGTTGAAGCAGGTTTGGTTGCACCCCGCCGGCGGCCCGGACCACAGGTTGCTGTTGTGCTGGTTGACGGGGAGGCGCCCCCGCCCCGTCGAGACCAAGGGCCAGAGCTGGGCGCGGCGCTGGTTGAAGCAGGTTTCCTTGCACCCAGGAGCGCAGGAGCGCAGGTTTTACTGGTCCTGGTGACGACCCGCGTAACCTGATGACATATAACTGTGGTGCCGCGTTGCGTTGTCCGAAAGGTTGACGCAGCAAGGGTGCTTGACCGCCGGCTTGAGGCAAAGGTAGGCGGGGCTGAGGCGCGTGGAGCGGAAGGCGTGGTTGGGGTATTTGCTGTGTTTGAATTCTGGTGTCTTGGACATGAAAATCAAGATCATCTCCTTGGTCCTGAAAATCATGATCATCTGCGGCGTCGGGCGGGGGAAACGCCTGGGGTGCGGATGACGGGCCGGCTTCCATGAGGTCTCGGTCAGATGGCCGAATCCTAGGTATGTGTTAGATGGTGTGGACGTGGGCCTGTTCACTACAAAGGCCCTAGGCGGATTTTCCCTCTCTGCCTTATTGGCCTCATCCATTGAAATTTCAGGTATTTCGACAAATCCCCTGCCCTCATCCACAAACAAGGCGCCTGGCTAAGTGCCTCGTTCACCCCAAAATCGTCAGTATCTTCCAGCTGCATAGAAAAAATCAGTTAGTAAAAAGTAACTTTTCTATAACTAAAACCTCTTCTCTCACACCCTTTCATCCGCTTTCATCAATTTTTTCGCTAACACTCACCGGAGCGGATTCTGTTGCCATCGAGTGTGTAGAGCTCTGAGAGGCATCGTCATCATCATCATGGAGCACAAAAGACGAGTCCACATTTCGTCACCAAGTAAAGCGTCCCGGAGAAAGGTGAGGTAAGGGGCGTAGGCGTACGTTGACCTCACGTCATTGAGCGACATTCCACTTGCTCCGGCGATGCTAGCGCAGTTCTGCCAGAAATTCTTCTTAATTTTCGCCCACTCAGCGCGAGAAACGAAACCTGAACAGAGAAAGCAACATGAAATTTCAATCACCGATTTCTGGTTAGGCCTACCCCAACCAAATAGCATGCTGTCAAATTTACTTACCCGCCTCTGGAGGAACAAATTCCAGCCCTATGCTATTCCAAATCTTTTCTTTTACATCTCTTTCGCACATCGCACTACTTTTTGGGTGAAACAGCTCTGGATGCTTCGAAACTTTTGATATCAGATTCAGAATCCACGGGTCGGACATGGTGACACGATTTGACGGTTCATCTGGTTGATCTGATCTGATTCCCACTCCCACGACCGGAGCCGGAGGAAGACTGGGGTCGATACCGGTACCGACCAGGGTTTGGTAAATGAGAAATGTTGAAATGCATTTCGACCGTCTAAAACGTCTGCACAACTAAGTGTGTGATTCAAATTTTGAAAAGCAAATTTGAATCCAACAATTTTAATCATTAGGGTAATGTTTTATTTTTATTGTGGAGGGTTGGGAATGGACAACTTGCCCGCAGAGTGGCGGAGCGTGGTGGGAAACAAAACAAATCAACATAACGTCAGAGAAATAAAATTCTTTCAATCGTGGTTTTAGTTTTTTTCGAGGGGGAAATCACTTGCGAAATAGTTCGTACACCTTTTCCCGAAAGAGTCCGAAACATAGGCGAAATAGAGCGAAATAGACCCGAAATAGACGCGAAATAGTCGGTGAAATAGTCAAAAAATACCCCTGAAATACTCCGAAATACCGCGAAATACCGCGAAATACCCTGAAATAATCCGAAATAGGCGAGAAATAACCGAAATGGCAGGAGAAATACCCGAGAAATACCAGAAATAGTCCGTACGCTACGGACCCAAGTGATTTCCCCCTCCGTTCTTTTCTCGATATGCCATGTGAATGCATAGTGTCTACGAAGAATACACATTAATTGAAGCCATGAAGCCATGTCCAATTCTTCTTTCTGGCCGTATAGTGTAGTTTTCGTGTAGTGCTTTCGTTATGTTTGTGCGTTTGAATTCCTTGGAGGGGATTTGTTTCTGTTCGACGTGTTTGACTCTTATAAATATTCTGTACAAACGCCGTGTATTTTTGCTTCATTTCCGCCCATTTTCGAAAATTTTTAATGAGAGAGGTCCGCCGCGCTACTTTGAATGTAAGTTACGGCACTCATTTGTTTCTGCCCGTGAGGCTGATAGTGTTTTGTTCGGCGCGGCTGCTGCTCCCCTGAATAGGAACGTACCTGAGGCGAGCCGACTCGCCTCAGTGAGGCGTCTCGCCTCAGGAGACTAAATCCACCATAAGAGTTTAGTTAGTTATGCCCATAGAACTCCTATGTTTTCAGGACTTAATTGAATCTATACATCTTGTAAAGGTGAATTCAGGGCGAGGGGGAAATCACTTGCGAAATAGTTCGTACACCTCTCCCCGAAATAGTCCGAAACAAATGCGAAATAGAGCGAAATAGACCCGAAATAGACGCGAAATAGTCTGTGAAATAGTCAAAAAATACCCCTGAAATACTCCGAAATACCGCGAAATACCAAAAATACCCTGGAATAATCCGAAATAGGCGGGAAATACCCGAGAAATACCAGAAATAGCCCGTACGCTACGGACCCAAGTGATTTCCCCCTCGATTCAGAGTTCCCTAAAAGGGAGCGTGATTCTCACGCAAAGCGTGATTTTCACGCCCGGCGTGATGAAAGTCGATCCCTGATTGGCTGCGTGAAGCTTACGCCTGGCGTGAAAATAACGCTTGTGTTACGTGAACTCTGAATCCACACTAATAGTTGAAAACTTTGCTCGCCATAAATCTTGTAGTTTATAATATTATTCTTTTCTTACAATCAAGAAGGGGTTATTACCCCACGCACCTACCAACTCCCATACTCTGGAGTTGTTTACAGATAAGGTGATAACTCTACTTAAATGAATGAAATTATTGGTGAACTTGAGGTTTCACCTTTTTTCCAGGCATTGACAGGTAATTGTTCTTTTGCAGTTGCGGGGGTGCAGTAATCACCCATGCCCCAACTCCTATTCTGTGGAATAACAAAAAAAAAGGTGATAAATTTACTTATATGAATAGAGTTACTAGTGGTTATAGTTGTTTCAACTTTTCTGTTTGACATTGACAGGTAAGTGTACTTTGAGTTGTGCCTGTGTTTGATTTTTCTTGCCTTATATATCTTTACTTTTTAGCTACAATTTTTTTCTTATTCCCTTCAATGATTTATACATATTTAAACTTACTTTTAATTGTCTTGTTTTTGCAGACATGGCGGTGAGAATGTGAAATAATCTCTGATTTTGTGCCAGTCTTTAGAGCCCCCGCATCAACATTGCAGAACGGTCTCTCAACAGTATGTTATCTGGAGGGGGGTGTCCTTCTAGGTAATACTTTCAACATCTGTTTAATTTGCACTTTCCTAAATTTTTTTTGTCTTGCAGCTCTCATCTTTTTTTTTCTTTCCTGAAAGGCATTGTTTCATCTAAACTGATTTGGTTTTGGCTTTGGGAATTTTAAACAATATTAAAAGAATCGCTGCTGGTCGAAGGCTGATAGTATGTGTGCTTCTAAAATAAAAGGTGAGCAAGATCATTTTAGTCATATGAATATTTTCTCTCTTGGCGTACGTCTGTATTGTATGATCTTGTCAGTATTTGATCAACTTTTACTTTTGTTACTGATTTGGACCGAGCGCTGCTCTCACGCTCGTCTACTTCATGAACCAGTCGACAGGGTAATAGAAAGTATAATAGAAAATATTTCAGCATCCTATGACTCTTGCCCTCACTCAGCTACAGTTGGCTCATGTAGGCCCCAATGGGCCTCACTACATAATGCCTGCCGTACCTCAAGTGCCCCCGCCTGGAGTGGTCTATCCTCTAATGCAACCCGACCATCCTTACCATTTTGAAGATCTGGCTGGTTTGTTAGGTGCCCTGGAGCTTCCCGTGCCTCCGGCTCCGGCCCCTGTTGTGCCTGTGGCTCCTGTAATGGTTGTGGACTTAGTATCAGACGATGAGGACATTGCTCATGGTGCTGCAGCTACCCCTGCTGCTGTGCATCGAGCTCGCCGTCATTTACGTCGCCGTAGTGAGTTTTCTTGCTTTTTCTTTTGTCTCATGTCCTTGTCTTCTTTGTCTGTTTTCCTCCAATGTTTTTTTCTTTTCTTCTTACAGACTGATTTGATGTCTTACCATTTCCCCTTGTACCTTTACGAGAGGTTAGTGCTTTTCGTTTTCTCTTTAGTTGTTTCTTGTTTTAATTGTATTCTAATTTTGTTGTGTCATTTCAGGTTACTTATTTATTTTACTTTGATTTCATGGACTACGTCCTTTTTAACCTTCGATGCATTCTTATGTTTAACTTATGGGCTATGGTCCACTTTAATTTGATTCCTGCTTGTTTTTAACCTGTGGACTACGTTCCATTTTTAATTTGATTTGTGCATGCTTCAACTCGTAGACTACGTTCTTTTCAAACGTCAATTCTTCTCCCTTTTGTATATGGACTTTGTTCTTTTAATTGATTGCATCCTTTTTGTTTGTTTTTTATTTTTTGTATCTAATGCCTCCTTGCGAGTTGCATTTGTGATTTTTGTTTCTTTGTCCTATGGTGTATATTACACTCGTTTGATCACTTTTGGTGTTTGAATTGACACTCCCTTAATTCATTTGTCACTTTATTTAACTCTTTGAGTATGATCGCTACTAATTTTGCCACTTTACACTTTGTTACATAATTTCATAGGTCGCACAACTTAACTTTGCTCCAATTAACAGTGATATTTAAACAAATTTTAGTATACTTAGCACCATGATTTTACTTAGTTTATCACGACATTTTGTTGGGGCAATTCTTGGCGTTATGGTACCGCTGTCTACATTTTCTGCACCTGACTTCCTTCGTAGGATCGTCTGGATGCCACTTTAGAGTATTTTTTATGGTATCACGCTCCTAGTAGATTTTGTCCATCCACTCTTGCCTAGCACTTGATTTAGTTTCTCTGGTAATCCTTACCAGTTTGTATGGCATGTCCAGTTTTAAGCCTCCACAGATAAGTTCTTTGTCCTTGCATAACTTTAATTTCTCTTCAATTTCCATGATAGCTCCTTCTTCCTCCTCTATCTTCTGATCTATTTTCCTTATTTCTCCTATTTCTGCTGTTTTCATTGCACCCTCTTCCTGGGTTTTCTCCACATCTATCTTCTTCATTTCTGCTTCCAATTTCTCTATTTCAGTGTTCATTTCATTCTGGTCACAATCTTTCTCTGTCATATTTTTTCTGCTTCCGACTCAGAGTCTGTTAAAGCTATCTCTGCAGCTAACTTTTCGGCTAGACAGCTCTCTTTTTGCTTATCTTCTGAAGATTGCTTAGGATTGCTACAGATTGCTATAGATTGCCAAAGATTTGCGTAAGATTGTCTAGATTTTACCGCTATTGCCGTGGATTTTGCAGATTGCCTGGGATTTTTCAAGATTTTGATCATTGTGCAAAGGTGTGATTACTTCTGTGGCGATCCTCTGTGAGAAGCTTGTAATGGTATTGGTAGTGCACGAAATGCACTTTCACCTCACCATTAACTCAGGCAAATGGCAAACGAGTCCTAAATGGCGAGTAAAAGTTTGAAGGAAGGGTAATTGTGGAATTAACTTCTGTCATGAAGTTTCCCTTGGCGTAGGCGTTGATGTCATGCAAATGAACAAAACCTTTGATTTCCATTACTGACCACTGTTTTCTATGAACATGCAGCCTTGCCGTGTTTTAATTTGCACTGTTTTCTAATATTGTATATTTTCTTATGTCCCTCAGGTTTTGTCGTATCTGCGCTACTGGCACACCTGACTGTCTCCTATGGTGCGGCCACATATATTGTTCAAGGTGCATCGACCTATTGATGAAACGGAACAGAAGATGCCCCAGGTGTCTCGTTAGGTTTCGGACAGTAAGGAAGATGATTGTTGTTCAACAGCAGTGACAGTGAATGATAATAAATCCAATGTTGTGTGTTCTTTAGGATCTTGTGTGTTTTGTTAATTGTTGTAATTTACAGTCAGGATAAGGCAGTTTGTCAGGAATAATACGAACGATTCACTTTGAATACTTTGAGTATATTATCAGAACGTAAGCAAACGATATACACAACCACACAGCTTGAGAACTGTTGCAAGAGAGAAAGAGAGCCGGTACCGGACATACAAGCCATGGAGCTGGAGCGAGAGCAGCGCTAAGGTGGCGGCTACAGTAATTAGAAATGGCGACAAGGTTCTAGGCAAGGCAGATAGATGGCAGCACCTAAAAGGCAGAAGCAAGGGTGCAACAAACTATGTACATTTAAATTGTATATTCCAACACCCTTCCTCAATTTCATAGTACACACTGTTTACAGATAATATATTACAATTTTAACCTGAAAGAAATACAAATAAGTTTTACAATGGTTAGCAATCAGTCACACCTAAATTGACCCTATGTTTGCCGAAGGTATCGAAAGTAAGACACTTCGTCATTATATCAGCTTTCTGATCCTGAGTCGGGAGATATTCTGCCGAAATAACATCTTTAGCATACAAATCTTTAACAAAATTATATTTTACATCGATATGTTTTAAACGTGTGCAATCCCAACTTTTAAGATTTGAAATACAAGCTGTATTGTCTTCGAACACTGGTAGAGGTTTGGTAAATTTAATACCCAATTCTGAAAGTAACTGCTTTTACCTTAACAGTTCCGCAACAGCTGTTGACAAGGCAATGAATTCTGCTTCTGAGGTTGATTTGGCAACACAAGTTTGTTTTCTAGTTCCCTACAAGACTGGATCCCCAAACATATCAATTACAAAGCCAGTGATTGACTTTCTATCGTGAGCATTGGCATAATCAGCGTCTACATATAATTTTAAAGGTACAGAAGAGTTTCCCTTAAACCAAAGACCTAGCTTTTGGGTTCCATACAGATATCTAAACACTCTTTTGAGACCTTTCCATTGTTCTTCAGTAGCATTTGTTTGATACTGACTAAATAAATTAACAGCTGTACAAATATCAGGTCTGGTTGACATGCATGCATACATTAAACTTCCAATTGCCTCTCTATAAGGCTCACGACCAATTACAGATTTACCAGTGACAAGCTGATTTTGACGCACTTCCAATGGCGTTAAACATGAGTTTATATTTTGATCCATTTTAAATTTATGGAGCACCTTTTGAATATATTGTTCTTGACTCAAGAACATCCCATTATTGTTACGAGTGATTTTAGTTCCCAAGAAATAATTTACTTCTCCCAAATCTCTCATTTTGAATTCCCTCATGAATTTACCCTTCAAGTCATTAAGGATATGAATGCTACTGCAAGCTATTAGAAAATCATCAACAAGGAGCAAAAGGTAAACTACACACTTCTCGTTAATTGTTATGACATAAATGCATCGATCAGCTTGGCACTGCACAAAGCCTAAATTTATCACAAAGTCACTGAATCTCATATTCCATTCCATCGGAGCCTGTTTGAGACCATACAGGGTTTTGTTGGCTGAGCGATAAGCGAAGCCCATCACTCCACTGACCGGAAAAGTTTCATTCTGTTCGTCTGTCTGTCTGTTTGTTTGTCTGTCCGCACGATAACTCGAGAAAGAATTGAGAGAGCGATCTGGGAATTTCAGGGTCATTTTGTATCATAAAAAGACAGATCGAGTTC